TTCTACTGAATGGATGTTCATTTTTAAATTAATCTTATTCAAGTAATCTAGGGCTTTAGGCTGTATGTTAAACGCCGTGTGTTTATATTGGTTTTTTTTTTTTTGGAAAAATAATGTGTTTATCTAGGTTTTTACGAAGAGCAAGCTCATGGATCTCTTGGGTTTTTCATGCAAAATCCAATCCATCCAGTGTGGGGTTTTCCATATATTTTGTGGGACTAATAAATGATAAACTTGCCCTCTCTGATTCAACTGCATTATTCTTTATGAATTGAATCACATATTACTGCGTTAAATCTCTCCAGAACCCAGGTGAAAGTTTGAATATATTTGGATAACGTCCTTGGTAAATCAAGGTAGTGGATTTTGTCTAGCAATTGGCAAATTCTCACTCGCCTGTATCTTATTGGTTTAGCAATTTATAATCTCCTACAAATTAGAGGTTTTTTCAGGTCCGTAACCAGATTACTGGAACCCACATATCCATGTCTGCTTGGACTTTTGTGGGAGGATCATTTCAAAGAATTCTTGTTTACTCTAGATGATTGTTTATGAAACTATATGTCCAGTGTTTTGGATTTGTTACTTCCTAAAATTAAATCTGTGAGACATCTAGTATATTCTGTACTTTGGTGGTAAACATTTTGTTCGTATATATATATATATATATATATATATATTGTTATTGTGTTGCTTAAGATCTTACAATGGTCCCTTGTCTCAGGTACATCAGACGTTTGCAACTGCAGGATCTGATGGTGCTTTTAACTTTTGGGACAAAGATAGCAAACAGAGACTCAAGGTGTCTTGGATTTTGTTAATTGCTTTACAGTTTAAATTCTTCTCTTCTTGGTTTAATTATCAAGTAGCTTAAGATTTTACTTCCGACACTTGAACATTACACAAACTGCTCTGGATACCTGAATGTTCTCACAGTTCCATATTTTTATATTTGGTTCAGGCTTTCAGAGATTTCACATGGGACTGTAACTGAGTTCATAAATAACCGTTTTCTTTTTTAAGTTCTTGGGTTTTTATTAGTAGTTTTCTGTACGAGTGTTCGTGATTATGCTACTCTAATATGAAAAGATTTAGGCAGTGATTTGATTTTTATGATTTAAAATGAAATTTTTTTATGTGTGTTCCAACTTCCAAAGCATAAAGACGTTCACTTTTGTTTCAGTGGGATTTAGTTCCGATCAAAAATCGATTTTTGATATACATCACTCCATGAAGTCCCATACTTGTTCCTATATATCAGGGGAAAGTTATTTGAAGAGGCACTGAAAGCAATGAGAACTCATATGAATTGTAGCGTGAATCTCATGGAAGAAAAAGAGGATAACGCTGCTCCAATCTAGTAATATTGGAAAGGCAAATTAATATTTATAATGCACTGTTCACATGAGTAGCAGTATGATATTTTGGTTTGCAATCTTTTTTTTTTTTTTTCCCTTTCCCCCTTGTTAACTGTTCCCGTTCCTGTTCTTGTTCAGTGACATTTCGTGCTTTTCCCTTCCACTGAAATTCTGTTTATTAGTCATGGAGTCTTATTGCTATCATTTTCTTGGAACTTGTAGGGATATACAGAGTGTTTCCAACCTTGCAGACATGAAGAATATGATTTTCCTTTTCCCTTAGCTAAAATTATATAATGTCAATGTAGATGTCTCTTTTTCTGGCTTCGATGTTTGCATTCGCCTTACTGCTTATACATTCCCTTGTTTCCATGCTACAGTTTGCATGTATCATTAGCGATTATTATTAGTTTGTTCTGATCTGTTGTTGTTCTCTTGGTTCTTTGCCATCACTTTTGTGGAGTTGAAAATTTTGCTTAATTTATCACTCTGCAAGCAATTGTTTGACTAGGTCATAATCCATCTTCTTGAGTACAAACGCAGCAAAGTCGTCATGGGTGGCATTAGGAAAACTGCACGCATGCAGTTCGGACTCAAGATAGTCTTTTGGGTTGTGTGATATTTCATGTATAGATGCTTTCCCCCTGGCCTGCGGCAAGAAGCTCACATCCCCATTTACCCCTATGGGGACTAGGTATAGATGCTAATTATCATTTACCATATATGACACATATATTATCCACATGATAATGGGACATAGTTTGTCTGACTCGCTAATATATTAAATACACAGTTGGTTTGAGTCTCAGAAGTATGTAGTTCGGTCGGTCTCTCATTTTGGTTCAGTTCTCGATGCCTACTGGTCGGTTGAGTTTTTGACACCCATTGGAAGGTTAACCTGTGGCACTGGTTGATATAGTGGTGCTTTTAGTTGCCCTGCCCTATACTGACATTCGATATCTATGGTATTTCTCTTTTTATACCATTTCTTATTTGCATCTACTTTGCCATTTTCACTTGATAGAAACAGTCCGTTACACACTTGGTCTCTCTCTCTCTCTCTCTCTCTCTCTCACACACACACACACACGCGCGCGTGTTTGACACGTGACACACATGTTTGAATATTTGACATGTTTTGAGTGTTGGTATAGTTGGTAGCCCTGCAGTAAATTAGTTTGGGTGCATGTTGACTTGTAGGAAATGCTTTGAAAATCTGCAATTTACCTTTGTTTCTACCCAAGTGCTGTGCATGGTATTTCATTATGTTCATCCATATCAAACTAAGAAATTGCAGTGGTTTTCTTTCGATATATTATTTATTTGTCTAATTTGTCTTTGAATGATTCAGGCCATGTCAAGGCGCAGTCAACCCATACCTTGCAGTGCTTTTAACTATGATGGCAGCATATTTGCTTACTCAATATGTCTTGGTTAATAAAACTACATTGTCTTGTTTCTTTCCTCTGCTCTCTCTCTCTCTCTCTCTGAGCTTGTGTGCACACTGACACAGTTTTTATTTACTTTTTTAGGCAGAAGCGACTAATTTGTGCTTAAAAAAGAAAAGCAGATGAGTACCTTTTTATTAAAGCAACATTTTAAGGTATTATGGTACCTTCGGCATGAATCCAGTCTTCTCCTTGTGAATGCTGGGGTGAATGTTTTTGGTGCATCATAACTACATACAGAAATTTAGAGTGCATGAAAGTTGTAAATGTTTTTGGTGAATGAATTTATGTTTTTTTTCGCATCGTGGGGGAAGGAGCATTATTAGTTGCATCAGTGGGAGAAACAGTGTAGTTCAGAATTCTTTTCACATATGCCATCCTGGAGTTCTGAGCACTCAGGCATGATTTTGAACATGTTTTGGCCAATTCTCATCACATATGCTATCCTGGCAAAAGGACGTAGCTTTCCCTATATTATCTGCTTGGTGTGTCTACATAGTGTTACTTGCTGTACCGAAGCTTGTAATATAACTTTTGTTTATTATAGGTTTGCTATGATTGGAGTAAGGGTGCAGAAAATCATAATCCATCAACTGCAAAGACCTACATTTACTTGCACTTGCCCCAGGTAATGTCCTTGTGTATATTTAGAATCACAAGCTTTAATTCTTCTGAAAATTTTCTGTTTTTTTTTTTTTTTTTGGTTTTTCTTCCCTTGGGAACATCGGTGTAAGTTTTTGTTTGCTAATGTGGTCTTTATATGATGCAGGAGTTTGAGGTTAAGGGCAAACCAAGAATTGGAGCCAGCGGTAGAAAGTGAAGCTGCTTATTGCCGTCTTCAAGAAGGATATGTACTTCTGTACATGGAATATATTTTGCCTCTACATTTCCATTCACCTGATGTACAAACTGGAATTTAGATCTTGCGGTGCATTTAGAAGTCTTAGGTCAGAAATGAGGTTTTCCGAATTAGAATGTTTGATCCTCTATCAGTATAGTGTTTTTATTTGAATCTGCAGTCCATATTTTGTAACTGGATATGCATTGGATTATTCTCTTCTTCTTTTTTTTGAAAGGTTATGCATTGGATTATTAGTTGCTTGGTCAGAAGTGCGGTTATTGTTTCTATAATTGGTGAATTTTTAAACTTTGTTTGCAATCCAGAAATTTGTGTTCCACAAGAAACAAGTGACAGACAATATATATATATATATATATATATATATATATATATATATATGTTTAAGATAGGACAACTGGAACATAGTTGTGTTTTTTATTTGAAAAATGCCCATGCATTCCCGCTGATCTTTTAATGATCGAATTTAATGTATTTAAGAGCTTTTTAATCTTGTTTTAAAAAGGCAAGACTTGTATCTTAGTATTGGATGGTTAAGGGTTGAAAAGTTATATTGTATATCAAGAAATGGGGAGCTTACTGATGCGCATAGCTGTTTTACCATTTCCTTTTACTCTAAATAATATTAGCACTTATTTTTTAAAAAATTAAATATATGGCTTTAAAGTAGTATTTTAGTACTCTCATCCTTGAAGTACTTGTAGTTAAGAAGTGTTTTCCAGCAAAAAAATTCAAAGTTTGCAACTAACAAATCAACTTCAAAGAGCTCTGCAATGAGAAGTCACTCAGATAATGCTTATTTTTTCAGCAAGCCCTTGGTTAATTTTAACAGTATACCCTTCTATCTTTCCGTGTGTGTGTGTGTGTATACATATATGCGTCTATTATTGATTATTGAATTCACCCGACCCGATAGTCTATTTTGGGATCAATGTTGAATTCACCCGACCCGACAGTACCCATTTTGGGAACATCCAGTGCCAAAGTCACGGAATGGGTAAGTCGCCAATCCCTAAAACGGACTATGTAATGTACTTTATCTGCTGGGTTTGGGGGGGTCATTTTACCAGAGGTTTCTAATCTACCCTTGTGTGATGAGTGTTGAAGCATATACTCGGGGGTGGGTGCAGTGCTGCTGGGTTTGGGGGAGTCATTTTACCAGAGGTTTCTAATCTACCCTTGTGTGATGAGTGTTGAAGCATATACTCGGGGGTAGGTGCAGGGCGGACTATTTTAAAGCAAACTCCCCGTTCATTAGATAGACAAGATCACCAAGATTTCGTTATCCGCTGCCAAACTTATTCCAATTCCAAGAGCTCGGATCGAATCGGTATATAAATAAAACAGAGTTATTATTGCTCTCAGGTAAAAAAAAAAATGCATTTATTAGTGTAACAATCATTTACTACTTGGATACATAACAATAGCATACACTGGTGCTTCCACGGACCTTCCTCCCGTGCTTTTGTTTCCACCAGAAAATTCAGAGTGTCAACCGGTAACCCTATGGACATTACAATATCATCAAAACTCCAACATATGATATAGATTGGACTTTTTGAGAAGAAAAAAAACAAGAGAGAGACAAAAAAGAAAGGAAAAATCATATGCACAAAGATGATAAATATCACTACAAATACAAAGTGAGTGTCCAAGAGATTTCTATATATGACGGCAGAACCGTTGAAGGATCATCTGGGACCGGACAATTCATCTGGACGGATGTTGGATGTGGAGTCCGCGATGATCCAATCAGTATTTGGGTGAGGGGCATGGTTGTATTCTTGACGTAGTACCTCCTCCTTTTGCCACTCTTCCCATCTCTCGGCTAAGCCATCGCCTTCGAGCATTCTGACAACATCTGACATCTTGGGCCGTTCCATTGGAGAGCCTTGTGTGCATAGCAGAGCCACCTGGATCAGCTGTTCCACCTCTTCAACAACGTATTGACCCTGCATATCTCCGTCAACCAGTGTCTCCAATTTTTTTTCTTTCAGTAGTGTTTTCACCTGAAATGTTGGGGAGATTTATTAGGTAGTGAATAAGAGATGCCAATGGCAATAATTTGAAATTTCAAATATTAAATGGTCATTCTTGATTTTAAAAGCATTTGCAAATATAAATTTGCCACTTAAAATCATGACCACCAAAACCAGTGATTGATGATGGTGATGAATCGATTGCAAATCACTTCAGTTCAACTCCCTTGTTAGGGATGCGTTTGAATGCCAACATGAACATTAGAAGACTCATTTTGATTCGCATAAACATAAAAATGGGCAATCCATTTTAATGTGCTTTCCACATCCCCCTAGCCAACCAATTTTTCATTAAAAATTCGTGACACCGGACAAGTTCGCAGAAGGCTACTATGGCGAACTTAAAATATTAATACAAAAATGACAATCTAACATTAGAAAATACAAATATTTTTTTTTGATAAGTAAAAATATTGGTAATTAGAAAATGCAAACATATCATGGGAGGATGATGAATTCTTACCCAATCAAGCAACATGACATCGTCATCACTGGCAAGCCGAGCAAGATCAAAAGCCCTCTGTCCAGTGATAAGCTCAAGAAGCATGACCCCATACCCAAACACATCAGTTTTTTCTGAAGACTTCCCAGTGGAAAGGTATTCGGGGGCTATATGACCAATTGTGCCACGTACAGCGGTGGTAACATGTGTGTCCTTGTAGTCCATGAGTTTAGCTAACCCAAAGTCTCCAACAACAGCTTCAAACTCCTCATCCAACAAAATATTAGCAGCTTTAACATCACGATGAATTATCTTAGGATCACAATGATCGTGCAAATATGCAAGGCCCCTAGCGGATCCAAGAGCAATTTGCTGCCTTTTTTCCCATTCAAGTGGCGATTGCGATTCAGGTCGATCTACAATAACACATTAATTATTCATGAATACACTGTAGATATTAAGCAAATTTGGGAACAGGTCCTGAATTATGAATTTTAAAATTTTCAACATTTTGTTCATATATTGGACCAATCACAGTTTTCAAAGTTTCAGAATATTATTAGCTGACTTTGATAAAATCCTATATAAGATATCATTTATGTAGACATTAGTCCAGGTATTGATTTCTTCAACATAAAACAGGCATGAAATTTGATGCTGGAATTCAGTTAGACATTGACAATTGACATCACTTCTGAAACTCCAAGCAGATTGCATAAAAGCAACTGAATTTTTTTTTTTTTTTGACAGGTATGTATGTATTAGAAAGCGTTCAAAAGGGGAACGCATCCCAAAAGCTACACAAAGTCCGAAGCCAAAAAAACTAAGAACTCAAGGAGCCCAAAAAAACTGAAAATTATTATTATTATTACAAGTAATTGAAAAAATTACTGAAGCACGTAGGGACCAACAAGCAGTACCTCTTAAACATGATGCAACACTTCCATTAGCCATATAAGGATAGACAAGTAATCGTTCTGTTGGTGTCATGCAAAAGCCACGTAAACGAAGTAGATTTCGATGCACAGCCATGCTGATCATTTCTACTTCTGTTTGGAACTGAAGCTCCCCACCTTGAGTACGCTCCTCTTTTAGCCTTTTTACCGCCACTAGAGTGCCATCAGCCAAGCGTCCTTTGTAAACCTTACCAAACCCACCTCTGCCAAGAATATTTTTGTTGCCAAAATTATCTGTTGCGACTTGTAGTTCACGCAAAGAAAACCTCTTGAGCTGTCCAAGATGGACTTCTGGATCCTCCTCAGCTGCAAAGAGATGTAAATGGGTGAAAATGCAATATATATGGAACTGCAATATCAATTTAAACCATTTTCCATTTAAATCCACTAACCAGGTACATCAAAGAAATGATCTTGAGGTTTCCTCCGTCGCCACCAAGCAAGCGCAATTGCAGGAGCAGCAAACAGCAGCGCAGCACCAGCCGCAACTCCTCCAGCAATCGCTCCAGTTGCACTATTGCTTACTGTTTTGACATTAGACAATTACAGATGCAATAAGTTAATTCTTTTTGTGCATTCCCACTACCACTTAAATTTTCAACCGGAAGCAAACTAAACATGGTTAAAAAAATGTAGAATTTGTAAAAGACAAATAATCCCTATAAATCTTTCATAGGACCAATGAGTTCTACTTTTCCGTGTAAAAGACAAATAATCCCTATAAATCTTTCATAGGACCAATAAGTCCTACTTTTGAAATCCTTTTTCCATTTAAGTTATAAACCACTCGATTTTTCACTTATACTCGTATCAAATAGAACTAAAGTGCTATAATAATTATGATTTATATTCTAAAATTACTGTGTAATACTCTTTTTATTCTACGTCCTTTATGTTTTAGTTAATTAATGAATATGATATTATAATCTAATTTTAATTAAGTTAATTAAAGTTCAATTCCAAAAATCTTTTGGAAATTTTACAACAATCATTTTGAACATACAATAAAAAAAATTCTATTAAAATAATAATAAAATTTTATAATTCCTTTTTATTGAAACAATTTGAATACAAATTTTATCCTTTTTGAAAAAAAGAATAATGATTTTGAAAATGGAGATTTTAAATAGTAAATTGGTAAGGGTATAAGTTAGTTAAAAGTTGAGTGGTTTACAACTTAAATGGAAAAGGATTTCAAAAGTATGACTTATTGGTCCTATGAAAAATTTATAGGAACTTGTTTGTCTTTTATAGAGAAAAGTTAGTGCTAATTTTCTCAAAATTTTATATATATGCATATAAGGATAAATTTAAATAATAATTGTCTGTCATGTTATTATATATCGTTACTAACATTTTCTTATAAAAAACATGACAAAAAAGTTGAGAATTGAGAGTTATATGAATAGATACATTTTGGACTAAATTATTTGTTAATGTTCAAACTTGTAAAATATGTATTCTGAAGTATCAGACGCGTTGCGAAAGTATCTGAACAGTACCGAATATGTGCTAGAACTAAAAGAAATTATTATAAAAGTATGGATACGTTTAGGAAGTATCAGACACTTATTCGTGAGTTTTTGAGGAGTGCCGATATTCAACACAGAAACGATACGGGTACATTCCCCAAGTATTTGTGCTTCATTAGGTTGACAGCTTCCTACTCAAAACTTGGATTCGAAAGTGTTAGTCTTGAGTCATATGAGTACCATTGTTGAAGACAATGCAGGCAGAGATTTATGAAGAACACAACGAGAAACCCGCACTCTCAATCACATATCCAGAGCACAAGTAAATTGACCTTAGTAAGACCAAAATCAACCTCGATTGGGTTTAGAGAGGCTTATTAAAGTTTTATTTTTGTTAGATAGTTAGAGAGTTTGGGTCTTATTGTACTGTGGGCGTAAAGGTTATTTTGTAATCATGCTATTTCTATATAATATTGGAGTGTTGTAGAATCTCAAGTTCAGTTTTCTATTCCACGATTATATATTTCTCTTTTCTTCTTCTTCTCCCCATCTTCTCTCACTAACCCTAGAAACACCATCTCACCATCTTTATCTTGGTATCAGAGCCAAATCAAACCTTAGACCTCATTCTTATTCAGTTACCTGTATTTGGAGAAGGTTGAAGTCAGCGTCCGTACGCTGCCGTCACACTGACATCTTGCTGATGTCATGCTGACGTCATCATCTGCAGGTCAAGAGCCATGCCTCCTGGCTCACCTGAATTTTCTGAGAATTATGGCAGCGTTTCTTTTTCGTTTTAAAGCTGCTTGACTGATCTTTCATATTTTTGAAACTTTTTCTGGTTTTTTGCCCAAACTGTTGTGATGTGGAGTTTGGAGTTTTTTTGGCTGGTTTTGTTGATTGGAGGAGTTCGTTTAGACTTGGAAGAGGCTTTGCAGTGATTGTTGGTTGGTTATTTGCATTTTCTGGATCAGTTCTTGGCCAAGGAGGAGGTTTGGCTTTGACTTTTTTTTGTTGTCACTTGTTTTTTTTTTTTTTTTTGGTTGCTTGTGTTGATTTCATCTACTCCTAATCCCTTCTGAAACTTCTTTGGTCACCTGGTTTTTCGAGATGCTGTGTTTTTCTTTTCTTTTTCTTTTTTTTTTTTTCTTTTTTTTTTTTTCTTTTTTTTTTTTCCTGCTCCAGATATTGATTCTGTAAGTACCATCCATTCAGATTCAATTTTGTTTTGAACTCTGTTTTGAATCTGAATCAGCAATATTGTGAGCTTGGGCTCTGTTTACATCAGAATCTACAATCTTGTTACACCCTTGTATTTTTGGTTAAAATTCTACCAATGGCTGATGATAAACCCCAACCAGTAAAGGATGATGATATGCCTAAGTCGATTACTTCGAAAAAATTGAATGGGGTTAATTATCTTGCTTGGGCCCATGTTGTTCAAGTTATTTACGTGGGCGGCGGAAATTGAAGTATTTAACTGAGAATCATCCTGATGACACGGAGAAGCTTGAGGACTGGATGTGTGAGGATTCTATTGTTATGGGATGGTTGTGGCATAGTATAGAACCCAATATTGCCTCTACAGTTGAATTTTGTGATTCCTCTAAAAAGATTTGGGATTCTCTTGCTGAGTCTTTTTCAAAGCATTCAGAGTAATGTTTCTCGGGTTTATGAGCTGTATGATAAGATTTTTACTACTACGCAATCCGGAAAACCACTATCTGAGTATTATAGCATACTTAAAAAATTACGGGATCAACTATTGCAACATCAACCCTTTACTGCTGATTTGGAGCAACAAAAGTGTCATTGGGAGGAGTTTATGATTGCTTCACTGTTGTCTGGTTTGGATTCTGATCTTTGTGGCTTTAAAGATCAGATTCTTGCTAGCGAGAAGTTACCTACCGCTGCAAATGTCTATTCTCGATTATTGAGGTCATCTTTGGGGCAGAACTCTAGTGTAACTCCTTCAGAGTCTTCTCCCTTAGTCTCTAGCAGCGAAGGTCATGGTAGCTCTCGTGGAGGTCGTGGTTTTCGTGGTGGCGGTCGTTCTAATGGACGTGGGGATAGGAGGTGCGATCACTGTTGTAACGACCCACTCCACCACATAGTATGATATTGTCCACTTTAAGCCTGAGCCCGCACGATTTTGCTATTGGGCTTTATCCCAAAAGGCCTCATACCAATTGGAGTGACACACCTACATATAAGCACTTCACCTTTCCCTTACCCAGGCGATGTCGGATTGTGCACCCGTAACTCGCCAGTGTGGTAGCTTGCCAGTGTCTTGCACCCGCCCACAGGATTATCACAATCCACCCCCCTTGGAGGCCCGACGTTCCCATCGGCACACTTCCGGCTGGGTCAGACTCTGATACCATTTGTAACGACCCACTCTACCATATGATATGATATTATCCGCTTTGGTACTGAGCCCGCACGGTTTTACTCTTGAACTTTACCCCAAAAGGCCTCATACTAATTGGAGTGACACACCTACATATAAGCACTTCATCTTTCCCTTACCCAGGCGATGTGGGATTGTGCACCGTAGCTCGCCAGTGTTGTAACCTGCCAGTGTCTCGCACTCGCCCGCGACACAACCGCCCACAGGGTTATCATAACTATGGTGGTGCAAATCATACTGAACCTTATTGTTGGATGAAATATGGAAACCAGATTATGTGCATCAGGCTACCAATAGTGCTACACAACCACAACCTCGTACTACTTCTGGACATGTAGCTTCTAATTCTGGCTCTCGTGATGCAGTCACTACTCAACTTAGTGAATTGATTCAGACATTGCAAATTACTCTTCTATCCAATTTCACTGCTACCTTAGCCAATTCACATAATATTGCATATGTGGCCCAATCCCCTCAGTCTTGGATCATTAACTCTGGAGCTAGTACATCATCTCTCTTTTCTAATTTAACACCTATCAAACATCGTATTGTTCTAGCTGATGGTTCATCTAGGCCTGTCCTTAGGAAAGGTGTTTGTCACCCTACCAATTCATTGTTTTATCATCCAGCCTCTATGTGCCTAATTTTCCTTTTAATTTACTTTCTGTAAGTCAATTGACTAAAACATTAGATTGTTCCATAACCTTTTCCCCTACTTCCTGTATTTTTTAGGACCTCAGGACGAAGAAGGTGATTGGTTCGGGGAATGAGAAAGACGAGCTATATTATTTGGATCCTGGTGAATCGCCATCTATTTCATCATTAGCTTTGAGTGCTACAGTCTCCCTCTTCAATGGCATTTTTGCTTAGGTCACCGGTCACTGGCAAAGTTGCGATTAGCTATTCCTAGGTTGAGTGATGTATCTATTTTAGAATGTGAAGCTTGTCAGTTGGGCAAGCATCACCGTAGTTCCTTTCCGAGTCGTAGTCATAGTCGTCATACCGAGTCTTTTAATGTAGTCCATACGGACATTTGGGGTCCTTCTCAAACTACCAATTTGAATGGATTTCTTTATTTTGTTATATTTGTTCATGATTATTCCCGAATGACATGGTTGTTTTTTATGAAAGAGACATCTGAGTTACCTCGTATTGTTGCTAAATTTTATAACGAAATTCTTACTCAGTTTGGTAAACGCATTAAAAAATTTCAATCTGATAATGCCTTGGAATATGCAGAGTATATCATGAATTCTTTTTGTGCTGATCGTGGTATCATTCACCAGACTAGTTGTGCCCACACTTCTCAACAGAATGGTGTTGCTGAACGAAAGCATCATCACCTGTTGGATGTTGCTCGCACCTTGTTATTTAATATGAAGGTGCCCAAACATTTTTGGGCCGATGCGGGTCTTACTGCTTGTTATCTCATTAATCGTATGCCTTCTGTTGTTTTAAATAATCGAACTCCTTTTTCTCTTTTATATCCTGGTGTCTCACCCTTTCATCCTTTCATATCACTCCTCGTGTTTTTGGTTGTGTAGCCTTTGTTCATGTCTTGGATCCTGGTCGTGACAAACTGTTCCCTCGTGCTTGTAAATGTGCGTTTTTCTAGGCTATTCCTACACACAAAAGGGATATCGGTGTTACAGTCCTGAGTCTCGTCGATACTTTGTGAGTGCCGATATTACCTTTTTTGAGTCGAACTGCTTTCTTTTCATCATCTAGTCAGAGTTTGTCTCATGATCTCATTTATGTTGGTGAGGGGGAGTCATCCTCAGCTTCCCCGATTCTTTCGATGCCATCTGCTCCACCTTCTACTACTCCACCGTCTAATCCACCATTGCAGGTTTATCAGCGCTTTAGTTCTTAGCCCATTGTTTATTATGGTCCGAACATGCCATCTTCTCCACCAGAGGTTCTTGTTCTTCCGACATCCAATTCTACTATTAATGATTTGCCCATTGCATTGCATCGCAATAAGCGTACTTGTACTCAACATCCTATAACTAACTTTGTGTCCTATGATCGTGTTTCTTCCTCCTTGCAGTCCTTTGCTTTTACCTTGTCCTCTATTTCTATTACCACGTCTTATTATCGTTGTCGGGATGGAAACACGCTATGGATGAGGAAATGAATGCCTTTCGCAAGAATCAAACCTGGGAGCTTACCGTTCTCCCTTCAAGGAAACGAACCGTAGGCTATCGGTGGGTTTATATTGTCAAATATCTTCCTGATGGTTCTGTTGAGCGCCTTAAGGCGCGGTTGGTTGCCAAAGGTTATACGCAGACTTATGGAGTGGATTACTTGGAAACTTTTTCTCCAGTAACTCGTCTTAATTCTGTTTGAGTTCTTCTTTCTATGGCAGTTTGTTGTTCTTGGCCTTTATATCAACTTGATATAAAAAATGCTTTTCTTCACAGCGACCTACAAGAGGAAGTTTACATGGACCAACCGCCTGGTTATGTTATTGCTGGTAAAGAGCACTTAGTTTGTCGCTTGCGGAAGGCTCTTTATAGTCTGAAGCAATCACCTCGTGCTTGGTTTGATAAATTTAGTGCCATGGTAATTGCTATTGGTTTTCGGTGCTCCGTTTCTGACCACTCTGCCTTTATTCGTCGCTCTTCTGCTGGCATTATTGTTTTGATTGTCTACGTTGATGATATTTATCATCTCTGGGAGTGATTCCGTCAGTATTGCAGAGTTGAAACGACATTTAGGTCAACAATTTCATACAAAAGACTTGGGTGTACTATGTTATTTCCTTGGGATTGAAGTTGCTCGTTCTCATCAGGGCATCTCTCTCTCTCTCAACGAAAATATGTGCTCGATCTTTTGTCGAGACCAGTCTCTTAGGTGCTCGACCTGTTGATACCTCCATGGACTCTACAATCAAACTTGATGGTGAACAAGGAATATTATTTGTTGATGCTGGGCGATATCATCGCCTTGTTAGGAAGTTGATTTATCTTACTGTTACTCGTCCTGATATTACTTATGCTGTTAGGGTGTTTAGTCAATATATGCATGCTCCTCGTCAGCCTCACTTTTGCGCTATCTGAAAAATGTTCCTTGGGATGGACTGTTGTATAAGCCCTCTTCCTCCTTATCCGTGAAAGGTGTTAGTGATGCTGATTGGGCTGGCAGTCGCTCTGATAGGCGATCTACATCTGGTTATTGCACTTTTGTTGGTGGTAATCTTGTTACTTGGCACAGTAAAAAGCAGTCTGTAGTTGCTCGTTCTAGTGCTGAGGTTGAGTATCGTGCTATGGCTCACACCGCTTCAGAGATGTTATGGATTCGCTCTCTTCTTCAGGAGATTGGTATTGATGTTCCCACTCCCATGCACATGCATTGTGACAATAAGGCTGCTATCTTTATTGCTAGCAATCAAGTACTTCACGAGTGCACCAAGCATATTGAAGTTGATTGTCATTTTATTCGTGATTTATTGTTGTGGAAGCAGATTGTTACTCCTTATATTTGTTCTGAGGACCAACTTGGTGATATCTTTACGAAACCGTTGGCTCGTGGTACCTTTCAGCGATTGTGTTTCAAGCTGGGCATGTTCAATTTGTATGCTCCAGCTTGAGGGGGAGTGTGAGATAGTAAGAGAGTTTGGGTCTTATTGTCCTGTGGGCTTAAGGGCTATTTTGTAATCATGTTATTTCTATATAATATTGGAGTGGTGTAGAATCTGAAGTTGAGTTTTCTATTCCATGATTATATATCTCTCTTATCTTCTTCTTCTCCCCATCTTCTCTCACTAACCCTAGAAACACCATCTCACCATCTTTAACTATTTTAAATGAGTTTTTGAAAAAATGGCTTTTCAATGGTAAGGAATTTAAAGAGTTTTCAAAACTATGTTTTTAATAGACAATAGAGTGACTCGACTAATAGGTTGATTAATCGAGTAACAACCAGGGTGTCGATTGAATGGCCAATTGATCGAGATTATTTGAATTGCGTGATTCAAATACTGAGAGCATCGATCAATGAAAGCAACACTTGAGAGTGTTGATCAATCAAATCCTGCATATTCTAGGAAACTCTCTTAACTGCATATTCTAGGAAACTCTCTTAAGATAGAACTTTACAAGGATTCAACTTACTAAAACAATAGAAACCTATATTGGCTATAAATATGGGGTTAAAATCACTCTAGGTAAGAGTTTAAAGCCTTTAATGATCCAAAAGAGAGAACTTTTGGGAGAGATTAGAATTTCAAATTACTCAATCTAGGGCTTCCTTAGATACCATCATATGTGATTGAGTGTTCATAAAAAAAAAAAAACCTTGCTTCCTTAGATACCATCATTTTATTATAAGTTTTGTGTCACTAGATCCCCGGCATGAATTTCAAATACCTACTTGAACTTTGTTATTTCAAAACCTTGCCTGGAAGGATCTCAAACCAATCAATGCATATTGTTAAAAGTAAATCCAAATTTAAGCTATACATGTCAAATAATGGAACCTAAATTTATTCGTTTCAAATCCTTCAATTTAGATGGAGCCTAAAAGGAAATTTAACGAACCTGGAGAACCTGGGGTTGTTGGAGTGAGTGCGGGTGGAGGAGTAGCTGGAAGAGGTTCCAACAGATTATTATTAAAACTGGAAAATGTCAACATGGCAGTCAGTATAACATCTCGATGGGTCACCTAGTCAATTAGCATGAAATAGGTACAACTTGCAACAAACCTGATAGGAGTAAATGCTGAAAAGGAACCATTAACTGGAATCTGTCCTGTTAATTTATTGTTTGACAGATCACTGCATTCCACATGGCAACAGGTTATAATGTCATTCATATTCTTGCAAGACTATTATGTGTGAAAACTAACTAAGAAATAAAAAATCAATAGTACTCACAGGACTTGGAGTGATTGAATAGTAGTCAAAGACATAGGAATAGTTCCCTTCAGAGTGTTGTTGTTGAGCCTCCTGTCCTTGTGGAGACAGTACATGGAACAGACACCGTTACGTTCCAAAAAACAACAATGGTTACTCATCAATAAAACTTCCAAGGACATAATTAATTAGCAAATAACTAGCATACACACGTAACAAACAAATATAACATTGAACAGAGTGCTATGTGCAGTTGCAGTGTGTTTTATATACAAATTTGTCGTCATCTATAAAGTAGAATATGGGGTAAGTCAAGCATCCAATGCTTTACTTCTTTACTTTTTTGTCCTAACAAGTGCAAGCAGTAGAAATTAGAGAACACAGAAAATAGATCCATGGGAAATTAAGCAGCTGTCTTAGATGTCTTGCTTGGTTCCATTTGTCTTCAAGCACTATAAGACATATGACAATATTGCAAAGTTTATGATGTAAAAGAAAAAAGTTCCATCCTTTCCAAAAGTTCGATCTTGAATTTGGTGCAGTTGGTTAAACATGTGTAATAGCAGGAGGTCCAGTACTCAAATTCTGAGATCTTCCCGATAATACTTGAACGTGTTCGGCCCACTCCTGAGAAATGTTTGGCCACACATAAGGGGTGTTTTAAAAATACAAATATCTAAGTTGTACCTTTTCAAACTCTCAAGCGTACACTTTTTGAACATTTGAATGTCTAGATACCATGTTGTGCACCTCCAAATCCAGCAGGTGCAGACAGAAAATCAATGCTATTATATGAACCTAGACCACTTGATTGGTCATATTTTTCAAGACATGTATTCGAATAAGTTTAAAAAATATAATGTAAAAACAAAAATCCAGAATTGTTTTAACTCACAGCAATTTTCCAAGAAAAAATCTTAGGTAAATCCCATCGAGTGTTGGTTTGCAATAGCTTCCTGATAATCTCTATGTACTAGTACTAGATACTACTCTTGACAAATACAGGTAAGTGTAAACAGTTCTCTTTACATTCAGATTGTGTTATGCTACCTACTTTGAAATATGAGGAAGAACAAGCATCTATTTGCAACAGTAGCATAACACATAAGCTATGTACTTTGAAAAACAAGGAAGAACAAGCAGAAGTTAAATAAAATTAGTAATAGAAGTAAAAGGCTTAAGGGTGTGTAATCATACAAGAAACGTAGTTTCTGGAGCTTGCCCAATGTGTCTGGGATGAAACCATCTAACTTGTTCAGGTAAAGATCCAAGCTCACCAAGTTTGTCAAATTCCCAAGCTCGCTAGGAACTTTTCCACTTATGTTATTGCTATAAAGTTCCCTGTCACACGAACATGTTGTTAATTACTTATAGACCAAAAAAGATATGCAACAGGAGCCGACTGTACATTTAAAAGAGAGAGAGAGAAAATCATAATAGCACCTACAAATCAATAAACTTTGTTTCTACAACATGAACAACCATGCCTATCTACCAGGAATAAGAAAAAGGAACATATACAACCATGCAGAGGTAGATTGTAGATAGAAAGTTAATCCTTGGAAATATAGGTATGTCAGAGACCGCATGCACATCCCATATTAGAGCCTTGAATAAATTATAATTTTTTATAGGAATTTCTGTAACAATGGCTAAATGAATACCAAGATAACAGGAGAGCTACATCCATCGCCCGACATTTTTACAGTAAAATTAATACAAGAAACAGCTAGAAAATTATGAATTTTCTTCTAGAGGTTTATTCTTAGAGGATGCCATCTTAAAATGCACATGAACTTGAATACATGGTCACATCAAACTAACAAAGTACTTATTGAAGAATGCTGTGGCAAATACATAGGAAAGTTTCAGCACATTTGACGCCCTTGCACATGAAGAAGTAAGTGATCTCAATTGACTTACTCAAAACAGACCAACATACCAATTCAATCATTTGATCATATATAACCAGAAAAATATGAGTAACAAGAAGTATAGGTCATTACCATGTAGTCTATAAAGAACATGTTACTGACATTTGCCATTTTCTGTATGCATAAATGATAATACATCCATAGAAACAAATCAAGGAAATGAAACCACAGTCCCCAATATGATGATTATAGTGCAATATAAAATTTTTAAAAAAAATAAATCAGAAACTAAACTACAGTAGACACCAGCATGCAAATATGCTCATCTAAAGGAAAGGATAGTGACGGAATTTACAGAAGCAAAGGTAATTTTAGTCACCCACATTGTAATTTAAAAATAAAATAAAATGTATTTGACCCAAAATCATGATCATAAGTATATTTTACTGTTTTCAACCAAGTACAGAGATGGAAGAAGAGTACAAGCCAAATCTGTTACATTTAGAGCCGTGAATTTGAATAGACGCCCTATGCAATTGACTCCAGCAGATTCTGGGACTTGAGAAACATGTTTATGACTGAAACCTTAATTTAGATAGAAACATCAGATTTAGAAGGAACTTGGAAGATTGTGGAATTAGATTAAAATTTATGGAACATTTGAGCTAAAATGTCCTCCCAGATTATCGAACCACATGCTCCCAACAGTTAAACTTAATTTCCAAAAATTTAACCAATAGTCTTATTGGAGTTCATCCCATGTTCATAGGAGAAAGCCTATCTAATAACGTGAAAAACAATAAGGCGCTCATGCAACTATATTACTGTCACCCGGGAAGAGAGAGAGAGAGAGAGAGAGAGAGAGAGAGAGAGAGGAATGTTGGCAAATTAGGTGTTGGAGGTAATGGGAACAAAAGTTATTAAGAAAACAAGAAAAAAGAACACGAGATCAATACACAGAGAACAAAATTATAGATCAAGTGAAACATTTCCACCGCACAAAAGTAGAACTTACAAGTACTGCAAATTCAAAAGCTGACCAAGCTGCGGAACCAATTGACCAGATAAATTCGCATTTCCAAGATCACTGTGTAGATATGGAAACTTTGTTATCACGCCACTATAGAATGAAAACCAGGAAGCAGCACTAACACCAAGTAATAAGGTACATAACAAGCATGTAAATAACTAAAATCATCACAGAAAGTAGGCAACTTACACTCTTGTAACACTATTGTCACTGTTGCATGTAACATGAAACCACGTGCAAGGATTGACCAGTGTAGGATCCCAACTTTGCAGAACATTGTTAGGATCAGCTAAAGTGGTCTTCAGTGCATTTAAGGCATCACCTGTTTCACATGCATGAAGCAATCATCAAGTGCTGGTTAATAGCAGTTACTATCATCAACTAATAGATATCAAAGGGGTGATAAGTTGTACAACAGCCTGGCCCATATAGGGCAACAAAGGGGCCAAACGCACAACCGGTTTGGCAGATGCTGTTCAGTAAAAATCTTGGTATTTAGTAGTGAGCCTGTCAGCTAGATATAGAATTATGCGGGATCAACAAATTGAATTTTATATAATTAAAAGTGGAGAAATATAGCTGAAAGACGATAAATTGGAAAATTATGCCATTTTTAATCAATTAAGGCACAGATTTCATGAAAATTTCAGAAATTTAGGAGCAATCAAACACTTATCCATAAAAATTTTAGCAAAACATAGTTGAAAACTGCACTAGCACACGTAAGGATACAAGAAAAACTTATACCTTTATAATCACGAATTAATAAACCTGGCTTAAATAAGATGGAATAAATCAAGAATTCAAATCCTTAAGGAGTGTCTAGATGTCTCGTTAAATTTGTATAGCCCAATTACACTTTCTATATCGTTTGAAGTAGAACTTCATCACTAAACGTGGGGCTCCTAAGAAAAATAGGAAAACTTCACCATATTTCTAGTTATATGTAATCCATTTCAGGATTTATTGAAATAGCAAAATTCAAAAAAATTCAACATCATTTATGAGATGACTGAACATCCAAACACACCTTACATACTAAATTCTAATTTTGTGTTTGTGCAACTAAAAGATAGTAAATAAGTAAATCAGCAAAAGTCTCCTACATAATCATTCTTAGCTCCTTCAAACTCCACGAGTCAAGTTTAAAGTCAAAACTAAAAGAATCATAAAGCACTTGTTGCTGATCTCAATTATGCAACACTCAAAGCAATAAAACACCAAATTCATATTCAAAGAAATGGTCAATACCACATAACACCAATCAATATGCAATTATTCCTCCAAATCGATATTTAAAGAAATACTCTAGTTAACACTTTAGAATCACATAACAAAGAGGCTGATAGAATCGGTACAGACCTTCTGCATTACCGGAGACCCATACTAACCGATAAAACACCAAAATCAGCCACAGGAAATCCGAAGCTGAAATCTTCCGATCCATCACTACCGTAGCTAAAAACCTAATTCCTCATCAACCGTTCACTCACTCAAACACTAATCCGACACTTCACCGGAGACAAACAACCAAAAGATAAAACCAAAACCCTAGCTACGAAACACTGAGGTCATCAATTCAATTGAGAACAACACCAACCAGAGCAGAAGCAAGAGCTCATCAGTTGACAGTTGACGAGAGAATACCGGAATGAAAGTCTTTGGCACTTTCTTTCGATTTTCCGGGAATATTTTTGTTTATACCCGGTTTTGATGGAGGTCAAAGTACCGGCGTTGAAGAGGGACAGGAGAGAGAGAGAGAGAGTTCCTTACTATTCAACGGTGCTTGGGATGGGAGGGGTGGAGGGTGTAGTCGTTGCACGGGGGCTTGGTCAAAGGTTCTCCTCGCCCAAAGTCTACAACCACTGTCGCAGTATTGAAAATGAAATCAATTACTTTTTTAATTTAATTTAATTTTGTTTTTTATATTTTATTTCATTCCATTGTTTTTTGTATTAAATAAATTACCAGCTACGTATCACCTATAAGGACAGCACACGATACAACACACGATACAACACAAATGTGTTAACACATTTAATTTTAAAAAAGTAAGACACGAGTACGGCATGAACACGACTACGTATAAATATAAATTTTTATTTTTATACATAATAATAGTATTATAAAACTTTAATTTATATGAAGTATTGGTTAAATGTCCAAAATAATAAAATTAATTTTTATTTATGAATAAGTATATGAAGTGTCGGACACGTATTCGAAGAATATCCGAAAAGTGTCGGTGTTCGATACGAGTACAACTCTTTCATAAAAGTGTCCGTACTTTCTAGATTACCAGTAACGTCATAATTATTGGTATCTCTCTTATTAATTTTCCCTCACTTTATAACACAATTCTCTTTGCATAATATTTAATAAAGTTAAATGATAAAATTTATTTACATTAACAAAATTAAATTATCAATTTATTTTAAATACATTCTCCCTCTCCCCACCTTAAATATTAGCTTTGCGAGAGTGTCATGACTTACCCCATTAAGGAATGCGTGCACGTATGGTATAATATCATATGTCACGACTCGTTCTGCATCTTGTAAAATTACTACAATCTTTGTACGCTTTCTTCAGGATACTCACAATTTTACTCAAGTCACAATTCTAATGAAAGAGTCAAAATGTATGCAATTTTATTTTCGTTTGAAAAGATTATTTCTGTGTTTCTAACATAAAACTCTAAGTCACAAGAGAACAATTTTATCATTATAGAATGTGTGAGCGCGTGACCTCATTAATTTGCATAGTTAACATTAATAAAATAAAACTATAATAATATATATATATATATATATATATTTATTATTATTATTATTTATCTAGCACACCTAAACAGAATTAAAAATCCGTCTTACTACGTACCAAGTAGTAATATTTTGATAAATAAGTGGGCACGATGGTAATATGTGTTGTCTTAAACCGCATAACAATTCAACTATTATTGTGTGGAAAGAGAGATAATCGGGTCAAAGACGCACACACACGGCTGTCCCCGCCACGCCGCCAATTAGGAACGAAAAATAGAGACGGGTGTGGAAAATTGAACTACTACTACTATTGGGTCTATGACTATTCACAGCATCAACGGTCATTTATTTATTTATCTATCTATTTTTAACAGAATCTACCTACATTTGGTGTGGCAAGAAATCTCCATCCAAGCCATTATTTAGTAAGTGCTTCTTCGGATATGTTTCCAATTTTTGGTAGGTTGAATCACACACTCCTTTTCAAAAATGATACGTTGCTTTGATGAGTAAGTTTAGCCGTTCGGGGAAAAAAATCTTTAACTACAGGAATATTACTAAAGTGGCAATCTTGGTAATAATAACATGTTGATGGTTTAAAAGTTGTCATGAAAACGACAGATGTGTGTATATATATATATCTAGTGTTTAAACTTTATTTACTATTTCAAAAAAATAGTAATCAAAATTGTGGCACCAAAATGAAAAAATATTGTTTATTTGTCTAAATTACTTTCATTGTTTTCGGGTATCACTTTTGTACATGTAAATATCATTCTTATGTATTATTATTTTTTATTTTTGTACACGTAGGTGCACAAGAGTGACACTTATATATACAAAAAGTGATATATAAAAATAGTAACGCAATTGTGACAAATAAATAAATAAATAAATTTTATGTCCATGTCATTATTTTGGTCAAACTCTAATTTTTTTTTAATAATCATAAAAAATCAGATTTTACTAATATGTTGTGTATAGTTATACACGTTGTATATCTAGGTAATATACAAAATGACAATAACATAGAGAATTGCAGTTTAGTGGTATTTTTTGTATCTCCTAAAATAAAAGGTTAAAACAATTACTGAAAAATAATAATAAAAAAAAAATTGAAGGTTAAAAAGTCAATTCTTTGTATAAACATGATAGGGGCGTGGTGTGAGTTATTTGTCTCGAAGTAAAAAAAAAAAAAATAACTTAAGTATTTTTTATTAATAATATTTTTTTACCAGGAAATTAAAAGTGACCAAGTATTTTAATATATAAATAACTTAAGTATTTAATTTTCATAAATGTTTATACATTCTATCTTGAACACACCTTCAGTGTTAAATTAAGAAAAATTTCTGGATTCAAATATTGAAATATAACAAGGACAATACTTAGATCAATAGTGATGATCTACAATATCTTCACCTCTTATGTGGTCCAATAAAAATAAAATACGTCATTTTTTTGTTAAACAGGTTTGAAAAATAAAGAAAGAGAAAATAAACCGGATCTACAATATCTTCACCTCTTATGTGATCCAATAAAAATAAAATACGTCAATTTTTTGTTAAACATGTCCGAAAAATAAAGAAAGAGAAAACAAACCGGATCATACCCGAATGAGATCGGATAAGAAGGGTTTATTTATTTATTTATTTATTTTATTTTTTTTAGGGTTCAACAGTTCTCTCTCTTTCCAGCACTAGCCATCTTCCCTCTCTCTCCACCATTTTCTTCCTCTCAAGTTTCTAGTCATGGACATCATTATTCAATTGCCAAGAATATTTGAAGGAGGTATGATATATATATATATATATATATATATATATATATATATATATATATATATACAAATTTAGGATTCTTTTTCTAAAAAAGAGTTTTTCCATGAACGATTATGTGTTAGAATTAAGGATTCACGTACAAATTAACACAAAACTCAAAAACATGATTTCTCCTGAGATTATGTTCTTCAGTTTTGATATGATATTGAAACACCTTACCAGTGCCACCACAACATTACCACCTACTCTTCGGCTGCTTTGTGAACCCACACTTTCCTGACTGCCTCTTCCTTGGACTGCTAATTTCATGCAAACAGAATACTTCACTATTTTGAGTGCCTATTTAAAGAAAATGAACGTGTTCCTTTAAGAAAAATATAGTAAACTCTTGATTGAGCCCCTTAATTTACAGACACTACAAATCTCCCCCCCCCCCCCCCCCCCCCCAAAAAAAAAAAAAAAAAAAAAAAAAAAAACCCTTTTTATCCTATCTCATTCGGTTAGGATCCATTTATTTTTTTAACCTGTTTAACAAAAGATGACGTATTTTATTTTTATTGGACCACATAAGAGGTGAGGATATTATAAATCCTAACTAGTGAGGATCTAAGTATTATTCATATAACAATTACCCTTTTACTAATATATATATATTTGAAAAAAGTTATTTGTAATTAGAGTCTGATTAGAGACTGAATCCAGTAATTATAAAATTTAATTTATGTGAAAGGAGTGGTGAGTCTCATCACATAACGTCATGATGATATCATATAGTGAGATCCATCATCATGCTCACATAAATTAAATTCAGCAACTACTTGAGGATACCAAAAATTACCTGAGTCGGGTACGATCCAGATTGTTTAGAACGGGTCGGGCAAGAGCATCCATCTTGAACCGAATCTTCATTAGTCAGGCCCAGCACCGGGAAATCATGTTGAAAGCCCGATCTCGGATAAAAAAAATTGAACCCATGACCAAGAAGGGCCCAGGAGATCAGCCAAGTGCAAGGAGTTAGTTAGGAAGCTTCTAGAAGATTTGTAACAATCTATAAATAGACTGAAAATAGAGGGAAGGGGGGTTGGAAAAAATTTGAAGTGTGGAATTATTCTTTCTAAGTAGAGAACATTTTTCTTCCATCTTCAATGGCGCCGTCTGTGGGAAGCGAAGGAGATTAATTTGATCAAAACTGATTCGTGAAGGAGAAGCTTGATCTCTGGTTCAGATCGGCGAGATCATAGTTGGTCTTATAAAGTGTTGGTTTGAGTTAATCTTTGGAGATTGGAATCAGATCTGAAAAATCTCGATCTGTTTACTGAGATTAGATCTGACGAGTTCACGGCAAGAATTGAATCAGCAGATTATAGATTAGATCCGGTGGAAAGAGATCGGAATTCAGCTAGTTTGAGGTCAGATCTAGTGCATTCGCATTAGTAGAAGTCAGATCCGGTCAAGAATTCACAGTTGATGACTCTGCTCTGATCGGGAACGATGGTAGAATGCGAGAGTTCTAATCATAGGAGAATGGCCAGCAGATTAAGCTTGATGAATTGATGAGCATGATCAAAGCCTTGAGAAGAGAGAATGCAGAATTATGAGCTGGAATGGAGCATCGGGAGGCTCCGACGATTCCACGACCAATTCCAGCAGGAAATAGAGCCTTGCAACCCGATGTTGCTCATTAAGGCGAGTAGGAAAGCAACGATCATGTGGATCTTCACCGTGAAGAGATCAGGCCAAGCGATTTACCGCCAAATGCTCGTCACGTGGAGGATCGAGAAGAATCTATTCATCTGGATCCGCATCGTGAGCAGATTAGGCGAGAAGAAGCAATGGCATTCGATCCATATCAAGAAAGGCTGAGGTAAGAGGAAGCCATATAGTATGGTCGCAACAAAGCTACACCATCATGACAAAGGGAGTTAATAAAGGAACGATCTTACGATCCTCTTTATCGACCATCAGTGGCCACATAGAAGTATAGAGGTAGACAGGGAGTCTATTGAATAGAAGGCGTTTTCAAAGCATCCAAGAGAAAATGAAGCCCTTCGTTCGTCAGTAAGAACGGTTGCTTCACCATTTACTGACGAGATCCTGAACGCTCCGAATCCGAGGAAGTTTTCAATGCCAATTTTCATTCTGTTTGATGGAACGAGTGACCCAATCGATTACATTTACCACATTCAGTTGAAAATGGCTCTGAACACGGAGAATTATCCCTTGATGTGCAAGTGTTTTCCTACAAGCTTAACTGGGCCACCGCTCAATTGGTTCAAGAATTTGGCAAAAGGCTCAACCGCTAGCTT